AGGAAATTTTGAAAAGTAAATTGCGATTTATTTTAAATAGTCATCACGTCTTGAAATTAAGCTCCCACAAAATTTTTAATTTAACTTTGTAAAATATATGGTGGATTTAATTTTCTTTCATTTGGAGAGTATTCATATATTTTTGGGATAGTTTGATCTCTAACTTCTCAATTTTTTGCAAATTTTACTATAACCATTCATTTGTTGCACATGTGATCCCAAATCTTTTAATTGCGTACAACTGGATGAAAATGAATAGAATCCATCCATTTCTTCATTAGTTGTCTCGTAAATTAAGTTTGATTATATTTTTAACAATTTCAAATATGGAAAAATAGTAATTTTACATCTACCATATTAAAAAATAAAAATAAAAAATTAGAAAAATGGAAAAACTGAAACCTTTTTCCTCAATACCTCCACCCCACAACCAAACGAGGAAAACCCCAATCGACCGGTCGATCAATCATTGCCACCCAACCACATGTTGTTGCACCTTTCTTCTTTATAGTCTCCACCAAATCCTTTCTTCCAGCTTTGAGTAATTTTTCCTTTGTCGAAAACATTGACAGCTTTTGTGATTTCTTCATAAACTCCATTATCTCCACCTCCAATTCTGCATCTCCATCACTCTCTTTACGCCAAATGCACCTAGAACTCCCGTTACTACAAATTTCTTCAACCTTTTCACTTCAAGAAACTGCAAAGAATGGCTAAAAACTGTCGTTCTTTGGTACCTTTGAAGCCTTATTTTGAGATTTTATACACAAAATTGAGAAGAGGTAACTAGATAATTCAAATGCCATAAAGGGTGGTAGGATTTTGTAACGTGCGCATGAGTTGTGATGGGGGTAAACATCATTCAAGATTTTATTTGGACGCTATGTATATTTGGGTGCAAAAAGTGGAATTAAAGAGGTAGATTGCAAACAAAATTGAGGAAGAGCGAGAAATCGTCGACGCAAACTGTCAGCACTCAAACCATCGACGTCATCTGGTTGGGTGATGGCCGAATGGTCGACCAATGGTGGTGGGTTTTCCTATTTTAGTCGTGGGGGTGGGGTGTTGGGGAAGAAAGGGAAGAAGGTTTCAGTTTTCCTTCTTTTTTTATTTAATTACTTTAATTTTTTAATATGGTAAATACAAACTATTTTGCCCTATTTGAAATTGTTAAAATAGGGTCAAACTTAATTTGTAGTGCACTAACAAAAAACATGGATGGACTCCATCCATTTATCTTTAGGAGCATGCACTTGAAAGGTTTGAAATCATGGGTTAAAGACGGCAAAAAAATCGTTCAACTCGATATTCGTGGGGTCCCACCTCGAATGGGGTGGGAACTACCCGCCTAACTGGATAAATGGGGCGATGACAGAATGATGGTCATTGTCCCGAAGCAGGTACGTGAAACATAGCCCTCGCCCTCCTATTCGTGTGTTTAAAGTTAATTTCAAATTTAAACTTTTTATTAAACAAAAATAAAAGATTTACCATCATTTTTAAAGAGAACTAAGTTGTTCTTAACAAATTGAAAAAAAAAGTAATAAAATTTACTCACTAAAGATATAAAAAAATAAAAGGTAAAAATAAAATAAAAAAATGAAAGACTAAACGGGAGATAAATGGGGCAGGGGCACAGGGGCGGAGGGAGGGGTGGGGTGGGGTGGGCTATACCCCAGCCCAAAAGTAATTTTTTTTTAAAAAAATATTTGGTTAATTTGGTCTAAATATTTGGTTAATTGTGTATCATTTCAGTTTTACACTTGGATTGTAAATAAAATTAATTGAGCTAAAATTAATATTTGGGCTCGACAAATTTTAATTTTTTTTTAAAATTTTTTACCATGAATTTGCTTCTAAACTGGGAATTAATTTCTGGGTTAGGCTAATTTTATTCTTTTTAGTTTTTCATCATGAAATTGCTTTGAAATGATGTTATTATCAAAATAAGTAATATACTATATATTTAATTTTATTAGTTTAAAAATATATTTGTTAGAACATTGTTACGAGTGTTCAAAAATGTATTATGACCAATGTTTTAAACCTATAGAAAATGATATATAACATGAATATATTAAAAATCAAGTGCGATTTAAGTTAAATTTGAAAATTAAATAAATGAAAGGATGAAAGTGAATATTACAATTTAATTAGTTTGAATTCAAAATCAAATTAGTCAATTAAACATACATTTGGAAAATGATTTTTGATGGACATTTTAACATTTTTTTATTATGTCACTATTCTACATTGGAAGTTTATGAAACCATTGGAGAGAAGAGCATTTATAAAAAATATTATCTCACATTAGAAGTTTATGAAACCATTTGGTATAAGTGCATCTATAATATGAGCATGACATCCAATAGTTTTCTATGAGTCTTTGAATTATAATCTATGAGGTCCATTCATGAAGTTAAAATTTTTTAAACTAAAAAAGGGGAAAAAAATCAGGAAAACCACTAAACTGCGACTAGTTCATCGGTTTACGGTTGAACCGACCGGTACAGTGGGTTTTGAGCGATTTTTTCATAATGAGTTAGCTGGGTATGATTTTGCCCGATTTTGGGTCCAATTTTTGTTTTATCGTGTGGTTTAGAACATCTTTTAGTATACAAGTTCATTGAAAAAAAAATTTCAGCATAGCCTAATATATTTTCTGGCTTCGCCCCTGGTAGGGCACCTGTCCCGTCCCGCTTTAACCGAGTATGGAGACGGGACAATGTGACAAAAATATCCGACGGGACGAGGGTAGGATTGACCGATCGTCCCATACCCGCCACATCGTCATCCCTAACACAAATGCAACAAATGAAATGTTAGGGTAAAACCTACAAATATTTGGGATAGTGATTATAATTATCCCTATATTTTATAATGATTGAATTTGATAAGTTGCAAATTTTAATATTCTAATTCCTAAAAAATATTTTAATCACATTTAAACGTTTTTTTTTTCATTAACATTTAGAAAGTAAATATTAACTGTTCCTAAGTAGACAGTGATTTAATACTTGATAAATTTGAAAATTGAGCGCCTAATAGGACACAATTGTGCCTAAACGAGGATTATGCCAGGATTTCTGATGCCAACTTAGACCAAACAACAATTTGCTAGATCCAGCCAAAAATATGTATATTCAGAAAATTGTCTTGTTAGGCATTTTATTTTTATATTTTGAGAAAATATTAATGCGTCTCTTAGAATTTTGACAAAAAAGATTCTGAAAATTGACAATAGTAACTCAATAATGAAAGTTTTATAAGAGGATTGAAGCAATTTACTTTAAAATGAAAGATCTTATTTTTGAAGTGATTATAACTCTATTATGTTATCGAAATAATGTTTTGATCGTGTCCACTAACAATATGAAATACCTCGATTTTTTTATAACATGTTCGAGTCAAATAGCAATGATTTCGGGAAGTCAAGGACTCGCTCATTTATATATATGTGTGTGTGTGTGGAATACATGATTTCCATATCTAATGGAAAATGGATTGTGAAATGGTTTGGCTACTTATATTCCAAATTAAGGGAAGCATGCATTGTCATGTATCTATTTCATGATAAGTATAAATTTTTTATATATGTATCGTAGTGGGTAGCATTTGATAGTATGATTGTGTCTCTGAACTAATGGTTGAATGTTAAGTTTCTGTCTATTAGGTTCGTAGACAAAAATATTTGGTCCCGACACATTTAATGCAAAAACATGCCAGTTGGCCCCAAAGCAATCCAAGGCCAAGGGTGAAAATGATATGGTTATGGATTATGCAATCAAGGCCAAGGGTGAATATGAATTCCACGAAAGGATAGGAAATGAATGAATGTTGTATCTTCTCTATTTGACTGATTGATTGTCCAAATTTAAGTATATAAACAGCTCTACTTTTAGTATATTACCAGAAACTTTTAAATGAAACGACTTAATAGCCAAGCAACGCTAACTTGTTACTTCAAAACTATAATATCAATACACCTTCCTCTAATAAGTTTGCAGTCGAGAAAATGCATAAACATATTTGTCCAATGTGAAACAAGGGGATTTTTATGTAAAGATATCGTCCAATGTCCACACATGATGAACTAATCTTCCAAGCTTCGTGTTTAAGTCGGAAGGCAGAAGGTTTAGCCGCTTATTCACCAAAGAAGCCGAGCCAACGTAATGGGCACAATTTATTGAAGGTACATACAAAATGTACTCTAGCATACCGTCCAAATCGACCAATAAGAATCAAGGTAACACAGTTGAGTGGCTGAGGTAGTGTCGATTGTCCAAACCCATATATGAAGGATTTATTACCACCAAAAAAGGTACGTAATTCCTACATTTCACTATGAAATATTATGACTTCATTGAGTTAGACATTGGAGAGTCTTTGACCATTGCACCTTCCAAATTTACCGTTTTCTTTTATTTTGTAGGACTTGAGCTCGGAATTCCCATCAGATATTTCTTATGAAACAATACACTAGCATTTCATTTACTTTTCTTCTATTCCCTTGTGTACAAATTACAAACACACACACAAACAAGATAAATGTAGTGAATCACAAGGGGCTAAAGAGTGGACTGAATGACTCATCATCCGATGGGCAAATGAGAGTGACTAATTTCCACGCAAGAAATTTTCTTGCTTTGTTTTAAGGCAATATGTAAGTCCCCACAACTCTGCCCTCAAACCCAATAATGCTTCTTGGCTTCTGTGTTAGCACCTTGTAACCCAAGGCAGTATACAGTAGTAAGTACCAAGTACCCTACACCCTATTCCCCACACCCACCTCTATCTACTCTCTAAATTAGATACAAATATTTACATTTACTGCCCATAACCCTACTTTTCGAATTGTAAATATTTCTCCAATTCACTCTCTATTGTACATTCATTGAGAGTACATAAAAAAATTGAGGAACATATTGTTTCCTGTGTGCTACTGTTATGTATTCTAATACTCACTCCCTTCCCTGAGCTTGCATTTATTTCTTTGTGGAATGTTGGTAGGAATCGACTGCGAAAAGAATTTGGAGACATCTACCAACCTTGTAGATATGGACCTGCCTCCTTCTCATGTATGTTTTTTTTCTCAATTCCCATCTTTTTTCCCTCATTCGTGCATTTATTGCTTATTGACTTGCAGTTAATGCTTAGCTAACATGCTAATATCTGCAAATTCTGTATTGTAACAGATCTTTGGAGAGGAAAATGGGGGCGTGGAGTATGTTGAGAAAGAAATAATGAATATATTACGATTCTCTTCAAGTCATGGAGAGTTGGTAAAAAGAGAGAGCTTGACTGTTGAAGAAGATGAAGATGGAATGAGAGATGAAATGCCATTTTTGCAGATGCTGCAAGCTGTAGAATCTCAGCCATTTTTATCAATTCCTCAACCTAGCAGCTTTCAGCTTATGTTGAAGTTGCAGCAGCAGATACAATCCCAGAGTAATCAAATTCCGGCAGTGGAGCCCCCTCAACTTGAGGGTGTAAATTCAGAATCTAAACCAACTCCGCAAACAAAACCAAGAGAAAAACGAAAGCGAAAGAGAACAAACACAGGTATCAACAAAGAAGAGGAGACTGAGAACCAAAGAATGACTCACATTGCGGTCGAGCGCAACCGAAGACGCCTAATGAATGACCACCTCAATGCGCTCCGCTCCCTAATGCCCCCTTCCTATGTTCAAAGGGTAAATTGTGTTCTTTCCCTTTTTCCTATCATGAATCCTTTTTATCTCTCTAGAATTCTTGATGTTATATTTGCTTAGGGTGATCAAGCGTCAATAATTGGAGGTGCAATTGATTTTGTGAAAGAATTAGAACAATTGCTCGAAACTTTGGAAGCCCAGAAGAGACTGAAAACCGGCTGCGGCGATACCGGACTTAGGGAGGATAGTATTAGAGGGGATTTCACGGTCGAGTCAAAGTCTCCCTCGGCGGACGTGCAAGTAACTGTTATTCAAAACCATGCCAACTTGAAGATACAGTGCATGAGAAGACCTGGTCAGCTGCTGAATGCCATTCTAGCATTTGAAAATCTCAAACTAACTGTGTTGCACCTCAATGTCACTTCCTCGGACGATTCATTAGTCCATTACTCTTTCAGTCTCAAGGTAATTAATTAATTTGTGGTGCTTTTTAGTACAAGGTAGCGAACCCTTTTGACTTGGGAAAAGTATGATAGTACCAGTAGTTGAATTGCGTGGTATTTTGTCAGGTAGAAGAGGATTGCAATATTGGAAGATCAGCGGCTGAGATTGCAGGTTCAGTGCATCAGATATTCAGTAACATCAATGGCAATGGCAACAACACAGATAATACAGTCTGTGGATCTCAAAGTTTATAAAAAAAAATCGCTTATTTGTCAAATACGCTCGAACTAACCATTGATTACTATTGAAAAACAAGTGATGAGGATTGAATTTTTGGAGAAGAAAAAGTCGTGTTTTGATAGAGGAATTCGAAAAAGTTGTGCCGAGGCCCAGTTGTCTCTGTCTACTGTACTATTTGAGGTGCAGAAATGGTGCGGCTGCTGCTATTTCTGCTGAATCAGATTTGGGGAGGTGCGCACTGAGTCCACGGAAAGGAACGGATGATGCTTACTGGTTTAATTCATATGTGCTGGCCTGTATTATTCATAATATATTTATTCTCTCATGATTTATGCTTTTAAGGTTTCTTATTTTTGAATTAACCCCGCTGGTCAAAATACTTTTTGAATAGAAAATTGGGTCCTAAAAGGAAGGAATAAGTTGACTTTTAGAAAAATCGGGCATTTTATTCATAGTTGTACTACGTGTATATAATGATTTACATAGTAGTGAGATATACGTTATGTGATGAGATATGATTGGATCAAAAAAATTTCAATTAAATAAATAAAAAACTTATCCAATATTTTTTTGACACCTCATCTATGTAAACTATTATATAATTTTATTATGTACAAATAGCATTATTTTATTTTTTTAATGGGGGATCAACAAAATGCGAAAATAATCATTAAAATCTATTAAAAAATCAATCGTGTTATATGTACATCATCTTTTACATTAGTGTTTATATTGTGTCACGTGACAACACATCATTGGACAATTTATAAAAAAAATATTTTTTTCGCCTACAACTTTTTTAAAAAGAAAGGAAATATAAAAAATCATACAAGAGATGAAGCCTCTATTTGAGTCACATTATATTTTTTATTTTCATTATTCTACTCATTTTCAACCACACATTCTTCAATAAAATAATATTTTTCATCAGATCAATAATTTTTTTTTTCAACCACATATTCTCCATTACATTACATCAAAAAAATGTATTATCTCATTTTAATATGCACCAAAAACACTCCAAGTGTACATTATTAATAAAAAAAAAACATCTTTGATCAATTTAAATTTTGTTGGTTGGACCACAATGTACGTTTTGACTTGTAAAATTTGAACCTTAACTTTTTGAGATAAAGTATTTTGACTTTGAACAATCGGCTGCCTACTGGCTACTGCTGCTGCAGCCTTTCCGATGGAAAGCACTTTAATCTCACACTCATTTACAATTTTATATATATTTTTTAAAAATTATTATTACTCCGAATTAACCATTTACAAAAAAAAAAATTAATTTTCAAATGCTCAAAATAAGACTAAATTTATTTTAAAGTAACAAGTTAAAATGTGTATGTTTTTTTATTTTAATATTTGGTTTGTCGGGCAGCGATTATGGAAGATTCATTGAAATATGACTATTAATTAAAAAAATTTCATCAATTTCGAAGACGATAAAAAATGAAATGTGAAGTTTGAAACTAAATTGAGGTTCAGACCCACATTTGAATTAAGTACATATTTGGTTTTACTAAAAAAAACATATTTTATTAGATTTCTATAAAAATTGGATAAATGCGTAGTTAAAAAATTGATAAAAATTGTGAATTTTCGTGAAATGTGTAGTAGAAAATAATTTTAAGAAAAATGAATTTTAAATAATAGGCCAAACAAGGGCTAAATAAAAGTTCAGTGTCCCAATTCAAACTAATTTTAGCATTCCAAATAAAATTTACCGTAGATTACCCCATACTTTAAACATATTGAAGTGATCCAAAAAAATTAGTCAATTTTGTTTTTCCAGTTTTTTGTTTTATTTATACACATTATTTTTTATATTAAAGTGATGTTCGAAAATTGAATGGAGACAAAATGGGGATTAAAATAGAAAGAATTCGTAGAAATTATTTTCTAAAAATGCAATAGAAAAAGCAATACAAACTAGAGGATTATGTTGTAAGGCGCAAAGTAAATGTAGATAGATAATTTGATCAATGAGCCAACTTAAAAGAGTAATAAGTGGCTATCCAAATGGCTGTGTAGATAGATAATTGTGGAATTGGGGTCCTGCTTCATGTGGTAACATTGCGTTGTTGTAGGTTTCTTCATTGCATTTTATTGATTTCGGTAAGATAGTTGACTTTGTCTCCTTTTAAAAGGAAATCCTAATTTTTCTTATTTGTTGTAATTTTCCTTTTTCAATGTAATTTAGAACCTATAAAAAGAAGCTCTTTGATTGTAATAAGACGCCCTTGATTATTGAATAAAATACAATCTTCCTCTCATATCTCTTCATTCTCCTTTTCATTCTCTTAATTATCTATTGCCCCCTCACACTCATACTTAGATTTTGTCTGGGCCAGCTTTTTCAGTTGATTATTAGTGATTTTTCTACCGTTGAATGGTGCAACGGTACAAAAATCAAAGGAAGCTGCTGTGTTTGTGTCACAATTGTCAGAGGGAAACGGATAGAAAATCAATTTTTAACTTTCAAAATCAGGACCAGACACCCTGTTAATTTGGTATTAGAGCTTGATACTATTCTCTGACCAAAGGATTTATCTCGCACGTGTTACAATTACGAAAAGTCATCTTCAGTAGCATCCAATTAAACCACAATCATCACTGTATCGCCACCTACGACAATCAAACATCCACTACAATCCTTAGATCAACAGCATCCAACGCTTCCTCACTTAATTGATACTCATATTAACAAAGTGAACCAAATATATTTAAGGAATCACAAACACTGTGTTGGAAAACTACTAAAAAACTAGTATGAATAGTGTATAAGAGCTTATGTATCACACATTCTAATTTGTATATAGGTTTTCTTTATATCAAATGTGAGCACATGTTTTTCTAATTGGTCCATGCCAATAGTATGCATAATAGAATTTTCTGTTGCTATAAAACCCATCACCAATAATTGGCATTAACAATAGCTATTGGTCCCATTAATTCTTCGTGTCATTTGATTACCATAAAAATTAAGAAATAGAGAGAACATGAATCCATAGCACATAGATAAATAGAGGTAATACAACTTCATAGCATATATGTCAGATACATCTCTTTCATGTACAAAATAAAAAGAACCAAATTCCAAAATAAACTCAATTGCATTAGGAAATATTTTTTAATTCAACCACAAAAATTCTGGTAAATTGAGCTCATAATAATTTTCTGTTTCCTTAGAATTAAAGTTCCTAGTTTAAGATGTAAATTTTCCTCGTATTCTTGTGGTTAATACTTTATAAACAAAATTGTCTGTTAACATTTATATATACTATCATCATAAACGCAAAATCTTTCAAAGACAGCAACAAACATTTAATGATGCATAAACGAATGAATTTAAGGACATGAACATTGTTTTTTCACAAAAAATTCGATTTAAGTGTTCGATTTCTTTCAATGGCTTAATCAGCCTATAATTGATTAATCGATATTTGCTGAAACTTGCAAAATATTTGGTTGAAGTGTAAGTTTTTAGGTTTAATTTTTAAGATGGAAGTATGGTCGAAACCTAGCAGTTAGTTGTAGTTCTGATCGTCTCATATCTTTGTTTAACGTACTCATGCAAATGTGCCCAAAGCATGAGATCCTAAATTCCTTTTCTTAATATTTTGCTTTTGTTTCCTTTTAATATATATTCACGAAATATATTTCGAATTAAAATTATCGCAAATGTACGGTTCATTAACAAGTAATATAGTGAATTTTGAGTTCAAGTATCGTCCCACCAAGATTGATTTTGTTCAATTTAAATTAACACGACCTTAACTGAAACAAGAATAATACGAATGGTTTGTTTTTGACAAAATTATAACTAAAATAAGCTACTTATGTAATTATAAGTAAATTAACTAAACTAAATGCAAGTTGTGTTGAACGCAAGTTAATGTGTTTTAATGAATGACAAACATACTAGGATCTCGAACTCCCATGCAATAATCAGTTTTAACCCTAGTTTTACAATTTGACTATACGATTGAATTTGATGAATCAATGTTCCTATTTTATTTAACAATTTCTCTCTAGTAATGTTAAACATACTTTGATATATGACCAAACTATATTTCTATAATGGATGCAAACACATAAAAGTGTATGAATTTTTATGAACATTTAAATATTCACATAAGGTATAGTAGTACATTTCTATTCCCTATCGAACCCTATAACAATTTATATATGTTGAACATATTTTCCTTCTTTCGAATGCATAAAATAGGCCTCCAAATTCACACAACTAATGTACGCAATAATTTTGGAGAAAAGAAAATCATACAAATTGTTCAATATTCAAAAACATGTTTCAATGTCAAATATATAAAACCAAAGATTAAAAACTCATATTACACAACACATCATTTTCCTAATACAAAAAATAAAAAATAAAAAAAAAAATACAAACACACTAGCCTAACATGTTATGAAGAAGAAAACAAAAGAAATTTTGAAGAATCAACATTATCCAAAATAAGTCTTGTATTGAATCTTCGTGTTCTTGGAATCGATTTTCGTGTTCTTCGCTCCTTCTATGCTCCAAAAGTTCTTAAAAATATGTTATAATGAATTGGCTCTAGGTTTTTAAAGGATGCCATAAAATTTGTTACCATAAGAGATTTATTCAAATAAGGAAATCAGATTTTTTCCTCTGAGACTGTACTATGCGACCGCATAGAACAATGCCATACACTCCTGAGATTTTACCTGAAGCTAACCATGCGACCGCATGTAAGAAGAACTATGTGACAACATAGTTCAAGAAAACTTCTATTCTTTGCGTTTTGGTCCTCGAACTCCGTTTTCTCGTTTCTTCTTCTTCCGCCACTTCATTCTTTCGCTAAATTGGTGTTCAACTCTTTTCACATCTTCGTTTCTTCTTCCGAGTAATCTTTTGACTATTTTCACTTTGGTCCCTAAACTTTAACTTTATTCCATTTTAGTCTTTTTTTTCCGCTTCTTTTTTCCTCAACTCCACCATGTTCATCAATGTTATGCTACAAAA